CTCTCTCTCTCTCTCTCTCTCTCTCTCTCCGCGAAGTGCTGCAAGCTCGTCGCACCGCTGTTGCAAGCTTGCCGCTGTGCCAAGCTCGTCGCTCACCGTCGTTGCAAGCTTGCTGCTGTGCCAACATAGGCACGCGCCACCATGCTCGCCTTGTTGTAGCTGTTGCTGCTGCTCGCCCTAACGCCTCTAAGCATGCCGACCACTGAAGATATGGCGCCAAGGTCCGCGTGAGGACGTGCGGGACCGAGCTGTCGTCGCTCTGCGAGACGATCTTAAGAGGGAGATCATCGGCCAGCTGCGCGAGGGGGATCGTTAACTCGTGCGCGATAGGCTCGCGGTGATCAGGTCGCACCGATCCGAAGAGAAATCCAAGCAAATCGCCCTCCGCTTCCGTTCGCCACACTTGGATGATCAGCAACTCGAGGTACTCAGCCCACTGTCGTTGATCGCCGTGCCGCGTCCACGTGATGCTTACCCCGACCAGACACACCGATAGCTCTACGAAGTGTTCTCGCCAACGTTTCCACTGACAGGGGTCAAGGACGGGGACAGCAAGCGATTCCAGGCGAAAGGAAAGATGCGGGTGGATTCCGGACTGCCATAAGGTGGGGAAGAAGGAGGGGAGATCGAAGGTGGAGATCGGGGATGGGTTCATTGAGGACGGGGGAAGGGGATGAGTTCTGGGAGCACCACCGCCGGCTCGTCCTGGAAAGTTCGGATCCCGTCGAAATCGATGCCGTCCGTGGGACAAAGGTTGTCTTCGTGAGGCGTGAGCCAATGATTCCACTCCGCCGCCCACAGCCGTGCCCACAGCCGGGGCATCGTCTTGATGGCTGTATGCCGCAACAGGCCGATGGTGCTGATGTCGCCACTGAAAGCGACCACCGTAGACATGTGGTTGATTCCCGGAGCCGATCGCCGATGAACTCCTACTGCCTCCGCGAGAACAACCGCCCGGGGACTTCCTGCAAAATGAAACTTGGCAGCCGCGTACACTCCCTGGGTACAGAAGAACTGCGCCAGTCGCCGAAGATCTGGATTGAGCCGCGTATGACGAACTTGTCGGATCGCCGAGATGTGACACCGTGGCACCAACAACGAATTGCCGAGAGCTATCTCTGTAAGAAAACTCATGGCGATGGCGATGGGGACGGAGTAATGGAAAGAGAGCGAGAGGGAGACAGAGAGACAGGCGATAAGCAGTCGTCGTCCTTTTCCGCAGCGGAGGAGGAATCGAATGAATGCGAAGAGTGAGAAGGAGGGAGGGGACAAAGGTAGGACATGTGGCGAATGATCGGTCGAGCCGATCGACTGCCGGAGACCTCCGGCGTAAGCCGCATGGTGTTCACATCGTTGGGTCCGAGTTCAATCACGCGGAATCGCCCGAAGAATCGTGGCGCTAGCTTGCCTTGGCGAGCACATTTCCTTACCT